TAATTATTTTAAAACTTGAAAGCAAGTTATTACGGATACATTGTATTAAGTTCATTATTGCGTTCCTTTAATTAATTTTTGTTAAAAATTTCCCAAAATCATTAAAATTTAAAGTAAAGGTCAAAATGCAATGAGTTTTTCTAAGAAAACTATTTAAATACCATGTTTTCATTGTGTCATTCACAATTGCTAAAATTTTTATTGACTTTCAGTAACTTAATTATTTTAAAACTTGAAAGCAAGTTATTACGGATACATTGTATTAAGTTCATTATTGCGTTCCTTTAATTAATTTTTGTTAAAAATTTCCCAAAATCATTAAAATTTAAAGTAAAGGTCAAAATGCAATGAGTTTTTCTAAGAAAACTATTTAAATACCATGTTTTCATTGTGTCATTCACAATTGCTAAAATTTTTATTGACTTTCAGTAACTTAATTATTTTAAAACTTGAAAGCAAGTTATTACGGATACATTGTATTAANCCGCACATCCTCGGTCTCTACTGTAGTATAGTACATAGAACCCTTAAATTAAGAAAAATACAAAGAAAACAAGGAAAGAAATTTAAAAAAAAATTAAAGAGAAGAAAAAATTTTTTTTTTTAGATATAAAATTCTTTTTTAGCATTTTGAAAAAGAAAATTAAAATTAGAAAAGATATAATCTCGACATCAGCTCACATGATTATATCCATAAAAACAGGGTTTCCTAATATTGCATTAATATAGCCAAAACGATAAGAGGAATAATTTAAGTTTAATATAAAAGGAATTCGAATGTTTCCAAGAACATTCAGTTAAGTAATATTTTTAATGAAATGAATAGAATTAAAATAATTTGTAGTAATATTTATTCATCCAAAAATCGAATAGACATGATTTTGCAAAATATGATTAAAAGCAACGGGTATCCAACACATGTAAATCAATTCTATACAAAATCATTGAGTTAATTGTCTATGAATTAATCAAACAATTTGCTTGCATAAAATCTTTTAATTATCTAAAATGATATTTTTGCCATGTACAAATCCAATTCGGGCAAATAGGTGGCTGATAAATTTTATAACTACCCAACAACCACTTTCAATATTCAATTAAATAATTAATACTATTCAATAAATGTTAATAATTTTCATTAAAAACCATCGAATTAAAATGTTATATTTCTGCCTTTTATTATTAAATATTTTGAATTATTTAATATAATATATTATCTTGCGCACATTCAGTTTTTGGGTCAACCCAAGATAATAAACAAATCAAATACGGTTGTTAACTTTAGAATGAACATGCCTTAAAAATATATCGCTACCCACGTTCCACATTTTATTTTCATATTTATATACGAAACTATTAAATCATTTCTGTTATATATTCGTAAGTATTTTTCTCGCTGTATATGTTCCTATTGGTGTGTAATTTTTTATTTTCTTGGATTTAAGGAATTTTATTTTTGGTAGCAAATTGTTTCTTCCTTTCATTTTCTTCATTTCATTTTATTTCTCTTCACACTATTATATTGATGTATTTTGCTTTGGCTGTATTAATGCAATATTAGGAAGCACTGTTTTCGTGGATATAGTCATGTGAGCTAATGTCGAGATTATATATTTTCCAATGTTAATTCTTTTTTTCAAAATTTAAAAAAAAAATTTAGCATTAAAAAACATTTATTTTCTTCTTCTTAAAATTTTTTATTTCCTTCTTTTATTTTTCTTTCTTTCCTTGTTTTCTTTGTATTTTTCGTAATTTAAGGGTTTTATGTACTATATATATATATATATATATACGCAGTAGTATAGTACGTAGAACCCTTAAATTCAAAAAAATACAAAGAAAGCAAGGAAAGAAATAAAAATAATAAAAGGGAATAAAAAATTTTAAGATCAAGAAAGGAAATTTTTTTTAAGTGTTGCATTTTTTGTAAAAATTTTGAAGAAAAAAAATTAAAATTAGAAGAGATATAATTTCGACATCAGCTCACATGACTACGTCCACAAAAACAGCGCTTCCAAATACTGCATTAATATAGCCAAAGCAAAATACATCAATATAGTAGTGTGAAGAGAAAGAAAATAAAAGGAAGAAATTAAAATAAAAGGAAGAAATAAAAATAAAAGGATGAAAATAAAAGGAAGAAACTAATTCACGAAAAAAAATTCCCAAAATCCAAAAAAGTACAAAATTGCGCACCAATAGGACCATTTAAAGCGAGAAAGGTACTTACAAATATATAGTAAAAACGATTTAAAAAAAATTTCGTATATAAGTAGCCAGATTACAAATATGAAATTAAAATGTGAAACGTGGTAGCCGTGTATATTTAAGGCACGCTCATGCGAAAGCTATCAGCCGTATTTGATTTGTTTGTTAAATTGGGTTGACCCGAAAATTGAATGTGCGCAAGAATATATATTATACTAAATAATTCAAAATATTTAATTAATAAAAGGCAAAAATATAACTTTTGAATTCGATGGCTTTAATGAAAATTATTAACATTTATTGAATAGTATTAGTTATTTAATTGAATATTGAAAGAGGTTGTTTAGAAGATATAAAATTTATCAGCCACCTATTTTCCCGAATTGGATTTGCACATGGCAAAAATATCATTCTAGACAATTAAAAGATTTTATGTAAATAAATTATTTAATTAATTTATAGACAATTAATTCAATGATTTTGTAAAGAATTGAATTTACATGTGCTGCATATCCGTTGTTTTTAATCATATTTCGCAAAATCATGTCTATTCGATTTTTAGATAAATAAATATTACTGCAATAAATTTTAATTCTATTCATTTCATTAAAAATAGTACTGAAATGAATCTTCTTAGAAACATTTGAATTCCATTTATATTATATATTGAACTGAAATCGTTCCTCTTATCGTAAATTTCAACAATGCAGATATTTTCGTCTTTTTTAATGTTTAAAACCACAAATTAAAATCAATATTATTGTCATGATTACAATGAACTGATTACGAAGAATTAGAATTTTTCAGAGATCGAATTAGAAATCAAAATTATTCTTATTCTCATTAATAACTCGTATGGACATCTTAAAGCTTTGTAAGTGGAATTCTATTAAAGAGATCTTGGAAATTTAAGGCCGCAAGAGATATAATTTTCTTGTATGTATATATTTATCAATTATTTTAATGTATTTAATATTTTTGCTTGATCTATTTCATTTACATGTTGCACTACTAGTAAGTGCATGGCCTAGTTAAAGTGTGTCTTTTTATTTTCATATTTTGTAATGCTAATTAATTTTTAGAATTGTGCTGCTTTAGAATCTAAAATTTGTTTCTATAAGAACGGCTCAATAAAGTGTAATTATTCAATAAAGTTAGATCTTTAATTCAGTAAGTATCTACTTAACTAATTAGCATCTATTTAAGTTTAAATGAGAGGGAGAGAAATTATTGTTAAATTGTAATTAAACTCAGTCCACTAAAAAACGGGATAGGTAGGGGAAAAAAAACCCGAAAATAATAATAATTTAGAATAGCTTTATTATAAGCATTATTCTAGTAATTTTATGTTGTTGTTACTTTACGTCGCACTAGAGCTGCACAATGGGTTATTGGCGACGGTCTGGGAAACATCCCGGAGGATGATCCGAAGACATGCCATCACAATTTTGATCCTCTGCGGAGGGGATGGCACCCCCGCTTCGGTAGCCCGACGACCTGCGCGCGAAGTCGAGCACTTTACGGTAGCACAGTTTAACGAGGACCAATACCGCACATCCTCGGTCTCTACGCAGACTGATCCAAGTGGTCACCCACCCACACACTGACCGTAGCCAGTGATGCTTGACTTCGGTGATCTGCTGGGAACTGTTTAACGATCAGTCCACTGCGGGACTAGTAATTTTACAGAGTTATGCAGTTAATACTATAGTTTATAGTTAAACTCTTCGTAATAATCATTTAAATTTCTTTTAATGTTTTGCAGTTTAAAAGTTTTTTAAGTATTCTTTTAAAAAAATTAAACTTACATAAATCTGAAATTAAGAATAACAAAATTTCAGGACGTAAGAAACAGCAAATATTTCTTAAGAATGCTTAAAATATCATTTCAAATTCTAATTGTCTACAAATATGTATTTTTTAAGTTTATTTTCATTGCAAACAATACTATAAACACAGTAAAAAAATACAGTAACTTGCATTGCCACTGTGAAAGCAAAATCTGTGTAAATTTCCTTTTATCATAAAATCCAAATTTATCGTAAAATTTTATACTGCATGTTTCACAGTAATATTTATTTAATTACTGTGATACAGTATTTTTGCAAAAAATATTACTACAAAAAGTTAGTATATCAGATTTTTTGTTCGGTAAAATTTTACTGTGGAAATGTATTTTACGGTACCAAGTACAGGCACACTAATTGCCGGCATTTTTACAAAAGAAAAATACAGTCAAATGTAACATTATAAGAAAAAAACATTGATAGAAAAAGATGACCAGAAGCCCCATTTTTTTCCGAGTGAAAAGAGGAGCATTTTTTTTTATTTTTCCAATATTTATCGCATGTATCATTTTTCGTAAAAATAAACGATTTTTTATTCAGTTATTGCTATCTTGAAATGCATATTGCGATGGAATTAAATTTCGCAAGTTTAAATGGAAACTAAATTACAAACGAAAATAACTTGTGAAATTTAATTCCATCACAATATGCATGCTATCACAATATGCTGTAAATTAATTTAATAAGTTTAAATGGAAACTAAATTACAAACGAAAATAACTTATTAAATTAATTTACAACACTATATTTAGTTCTTAACAGAATATTATTCAACAGAATATGCAAAAAGAAAAGATTTTCACTCAGTGATAATTTTCCTTATAGAGGATGTAGAAAGTCAAATCAAACTATAGGATCGAAATTTTTTAGGAAAGTATATTTCTCGGAAAAGAGTACATAATAAAATTCATGCCTTAAAAATAAGTTAGAAAAATATTTACTAACCTTCCAGCCACAGGAGCTCTTGCTGTCCCCTTTGTCGTGAAAATAGGGGACATTGCGAATAATGTATTCATAAATTTCCGATAAAGTCATCCTTTTATTTTTTGCTGATACAATCGCTTCGGTAATGAGTTCCGAGTAAGATTTAGAGCCCCAAGGATTTTTTCGTGACACTTTTTTTGCACTTTCACCACACAAATTTTTTTTCCATATTTTTTCTTGTTTGATCTCAGTACTATTTACAGACATTTTTGAATTGAAGCGTTTTTTTACCAAGAATCAGAAGGGGTAATTTTTATTGTCACATAAATTAAAATAAAGTTATTTGAATAGGAAGCATTTTAACTCAGTGGAGAAAGCAAAAATTTCTTCCCTCGTGATCGGAATCTAAAGAAAGTAAGAAGATAAAACTCTCCTCCACCTATCTGGATGAAGGAGGCGGAGCGAAATCAACAGTTGGTTGGCGCGCATGCGTTTTTCCTTAAATTCTCGTTTCATTATATAACTAGAACGCATATGGTAGTTTAAAACAAATTTAGCCAGGAATCGCCTAAATATAGATCTCGATTATATTTTAATATTCATCTCTAAGCTCTTTGGTAGAATAGCCACAATTCACATATTGTTCCTTTACTATCTTAAGTTATCTCAAAATAAAAACGCTTATTTAAAACTTCTTACAATTCTAATGAATTCTTTCTAGCATTGGAGTAATTTTTCAGTAGTTGATCAGTTGTAGTTCAATAGTAGTTAGATTTTGTTGTTGTTGCATATTTTGTAATTTTCTCTCGACCTCTTCTTTTTTTTTCCTTTTAAATAAGTCACACAAATATGGTGTTTCTGAACGACCACCCTTAATATTCACTAATAGAATCCTTATCGAGAATTACAAAATTATTAGGGGTCCCGAATTAAAAAATTTCGCTGAGTGAATGAATTCGAGTTTACGTATTAGAATTTATATCGAAATTCACCGAGTATACGAAGCACCAAACTCTGTTTGTTTGCGGAAACAAAAAAGGTAGTTGAAAAACGATTCTTTAAAGAATCTTTAAGTTTTTATCTGCTATCAAACAGGTTTTGTCATTCTGCACAACCATATCTTTCTTAAAAATATTTAAAATAAAGTTTCCTCTTTTAAAATCTATGCTATACTTGAAAATGTTGAGGTTATTGATATTGCATTCTATTTCTTTCTTTTTATAGTATTAAATTTTTCTCGTAAAGGTTTTTTGCTATGATGAAATATATATAATTCCAATTTCCGATTATAATTCTTACACTTGTATCGACATTATTATGATATTTTTAATAAGTGCTGTTCAAAATGTATTGAAAAAAATATATGTATTGAAAAAAAAATTGTAAAATAAGTTGTACATTTTTATATAAGGGAAAAGATCTCGAGTAAAATTTCTGTGGCTATTTTGTTCTTAATAATATCAGAAATGTGGCAATTGAAGTTCGAGCAAAATATTGAAAAAAAAATTTGAAACTAATTTTATTTTTAAAAAAAGTTGTCTTTTGATATCGAACCATTTTTGCTGTTTTTCTCGTTAACTTTAGATATTTTTTTAAAATAAAATAAAATAAAAAATTATTAAGAATACATATGAGAATAATTTACAAAGAAAAAGAAGAAAAAAAGAAAATGAGGAGATAAAAAAAGAACCTGTTGTTATTTTGAGCATTACAAAACTCAATAAATTGGTTGCTTTTACTACCACAATTTTAATGTTCACCAGCATCTAATTATTATTAAGAATTCTTCATCTACGTTACTAAAAGAAATAATAAATATATAAATAAAATAATGTAAAAACTGCAGTAAAATAAAAAAAAAATTTAATAATTTTTTTAAATTTCTTTTATGTTTCTCCTTTTATGTTTTTCTTAGTATCAATTCTCGACATTTTTGAGTAGCAAGTCACTTTTAAATTTGAAAAAAGATGGAAATAAAATAAAATAATTAATATAATCTAAAAAGAAAAAAAAGGAAAACTCTTTAAATAAAGTAGAAGGATTTCTTGAAAACTAATTTTACATTTTAGTGTTACAAAAATGCAATTGTTATTTTTAACCTATCGAAAAAAAGCGAGAAAAGAAATTCAAAAATATTTAAAAAATAAAAACTGAGCTAAAAAATTTGTTTTTAGAAACCATCAAGGTTTTGAATTTTTTTTTTGACCAGGATACAAAAGTATGAAGTTTAGTTATGATTTTTTATGTTATTTATTAAACACTAAAATTAAAAAATATCTTAGTGGGAACACAACAAAGATTTTTTAAATTTATTTACAGGATTTCACATTAAATAACTTTGTTTAGAAAACATAAGTTAAAGCTGTATAGAAGGAGAAAAATTTAGCGTGTTTTGAATTGACGAGCATAATAATAAAATTAGCCACCATAAATTGTCAACAACGTTTTCAGAAAACAGAGTATTTCATACTCGCAGTCTCGATAATTCCTGAAATTTAGTTCAGGATGGTAGGTACTTTATTTACGTCGCACTAGAGCTGCACAATGGGCTTTTGGCGACTGTCTGGGAAACATCCTTGAGGATGATTCGAAGAAGAAATTCATTTCAAATTTACTTAATTTTATAGTAAGTAGTCGTGTAGCTACTAATGTAATTTTCGTTGAATCTAGAACTTTTTATTGCTTGCAAAATTTATAATAAGTTTTTTTAAATTTAATTTTGATTTTTTAGAACTCAAGTTTTAGCATTGAATTAATAAAAAAAAATTAAATCTGAACAATAAAAAAGATCTTACCAGCAGCAAAAACTTTAATTATGTAGTGCGCAAAAAATGGACTATCCTGAATAACTTTTGACCTAATGATCAGATCTTTACGTTCTATGACTCGATCTTAATGGCTCGAGGGGATGACCTGAAATATGCTAATAAATTAGTGCAGACGATATTTGAAGTTATGAAATCAGACACATAAACTTACTTTCTTTGAATAAACATACCTTTTTTTCGACGGATTAGGAATTCCGAAGCCCAAAATATAGTGGGTAGCTGCAATTTAGGAAATATGGTCTCCATAGTTTTGTCAGGAGAGCGCTCCAAAGTTTAAACACCTTGATGTAAATTTTAATTTATTCATAATTCGTTATATGTCAAGAGCTTTTTAAGCCAATTAAAAATTATTTTACACACAATTATGGAATTCGTTTATATAAAGATAACTTGCAAAAAATAAGCTTCAGTACATTTTTTTTAATTTTTATTATTTTCATTGAAAATAGTCGAAAAAATTTTGAATTGTTAGGTATACAATTTTTCACATCATTTTAAGGAATGTAATTTTAAGTAGAAACTACAAAATTGAAGCAAAATTGGGCAAATAGTTTTTGAGAAATCGAATTTTAAGTATCTGACGTTTTTGAAACTCCGAATTTCTCAGGAACTGTTAGACCGATTTTGCTCAAATTTAGTGCTTTGCTATATATAAATGCATTCTCTAAAATGATGCAAAAATTGTATGCCTTATAATTCAAAACTTTTTCGACTGTTATTTAAGGGGTCCAAGCTTTGACTCACTCTCCTGACCAAACTATGGGAACAATATTCCCCAGGTTGCGACTACCTCCTACATTTTATAGGTCGGAAATCCGAATCCGTCGAAAAAAAGATATGTTTATTCAGAGAAAGTAGGTTTTTATGTCTGTTCTAGTAACTTAAAATATCGTCTGCACTTATTAATTAGCATACTTGAAATCACCCCCTTAAACCAGTGAGTTCTAGAAAGCGAAAATCCGATCATTTGATCGAAAGTTATTTAGGATAGTCCGTTTTCTTTTGCCCACTGTACATGCTTTTGAAGTTTTGCTAAAATTCCAAGGAAGTTAAAAATTTCATCACGTCCATGCAAACACAAAACAGTATTTGAAGGAAACATCGTTCCTTGTGTGCGAAATTTTGTTTTATTTCTTTTAGCAATTATTTTCATTTCGGTACTTTTTTGATTCAATGTAAATTGAGTCGTATTTTAATTATTAAAGGGAAATATCAATTTGAACTCTTAGGATTAAATTTACTATGATGAATTATGATATAATAATAAAATCAAAGAAAGTGTTTCTTCCCTTTTAATTATTACAGTCTCCCTGTGACAAATATTTTATTGCAAAATTTTGAATGCAAAAAAATGTACAAAATTTAAAAACTCATACTTATTTCTATAGCTCATAAACTAAAATTTTTCTGAGTTGCTAAAATTACTTTTTCTTATATTCCCTACGTTGGAAATTCTGTTTACGAAATGTTCAGAATAAAGTACAGTCATTAAAGGAAGTATTTCCAGGAAAATCTATTTAATCGAATCTATTCGAACTAAAACTTCATAGGTTTTGAATGGACGCAAATTACATGTACTAAGTTTTGTTCATTATCATCATTAAATGGCAAGATTAAAATTATCATATTTCTAAGAATGAAGGGAGACGTTATATATATATATATATATATATATATATATAGTCTCCCTTCATTCTTAGAAATATGATAATTTTAATCTTGCCATTTAATGATGATAATGAACAAAACTTAGTACATGTAATTTGCGTCCATTCAAAACCTATGAAGTTTTAGTTCGAATAGATTCGATTAAATAGATTTTCCTGGAAATACTTCCTTTAATGACTGTACTTTATTCTGAACATTTCGTAAACAGAATTTCCAACGTAGGGAATATAAGAAAAAGTAATTTTAGCAACTCAGAAAAATTTTAGTTTATGAGCTATAGAAATAAGTATGAGTTTTTAAATTTTGTACATTTTTTTGCATTCAAAATTTTGCAATAAAATATTTGTCACAGGGAGACTGTAATAATTAAAAGGGAAGAAACACTTTCTTTGATTTTATTATTATATCATAATTCATCATAGTAAATTTAATCCTAAGAGTTCAAATTGATATTTCCCTTTAATAATTAAAATACGACTCAATTTACATTGAATCAAAAAAGTACCGAAATGAAAATAATTGCTAAAAGAAATAAAACAAAATTTCGCACACAAGGAACGATGTTTCCTGCAANATATATATAATCTCATTGTCAACCTTGTCATGGATAAAAAGGACTTGAGTAATTTTTTTTGCTTCAAATTTCTTGAATTAATACTACGTTTAGTGGGACACTTTAAATTGACAATTTGACATAATTTGACATAATTTCACATAATGGCGTAACTAGAGAACATTTGTCCTAAGTTCTCAGCATCTATATTTTTTTTTATTTATGAACCAATTTTCTTGTTTTTAGTATTATCAGAAAGATAAACGTGAGAACTATAAAATTAATTTATCAAAATTATGAAAATAAATATAGTAATCAAATATTTTATTTTA